TTAACCTTACATAATACGTAAGTAAGAAAAACAACGCAGTATTTTGCTATACGGAACCTATAATGCGCGAGTTGGACTCGTATTTGCCCAATTTTTACATTAAAAGATTTAGAAACATTTAACATTATTTACTAAACAATAAAAATTTACAAATATTTTTATTCGAAAATTTTCGGCCAACAGAATATTACTAATTTATAAAGTTTGTTTTATGGATAAAATTTGAATACGCGCGGGGCCTTAGAAATTCTAATAAAATCATAGAAAGGTCATATCTGTACATTAATTTTTTTTGGAATTAAAACGTATTTTAAAAGCAAATGGCGGCATCTATTGACGAATATCTAAATAACACATAAATAAATATTTTTGGAGTTATTTTAATGTATAAAATAGGGCTATTGATTTTTTTTCAAGATAAGCTTTTTTAATACTTTTTTCCTTTTTTAGTATGTAAGTTACCTCATGCTAAAATGTTTATAGTATCATCGTGGTTTTATTTTAACCAGTTTTTGTATTTTTTTCAGAAATGTGATATTTTCCCGCGGTATAAATTATCCTATATGTTGACCCGGACAACCAGCTATGGCCATACGATATTTCATCAAAATCCCTCCAGTGATTTTTCTGTGATGCGGTAACAGACATACGTACGGACAGACAGAAAAAAATCTAAAAACTTGGCCTCTGTATCGATAAGGACTATTTCAATAAGATTTTCCAAAAAATATTTAATGTACAGATTCGACTCAGTTAGAATTTTATTATACATATACGAGTATGTATAGACAACAAAATAAAGTACTACCACAGATGACATAATACTGTTACGTTCTATGAGTTCGAGGAACGGAAATTAAAGCTCGTCTTTCGCAGTTCGCACTTCGCACTACGGATGTTTTAATGCGTTTGTATATCTGTATGTAGATATTTTTTTATCTTTTGTTAATTTAACGCAACTTTAATAAGAAATCTATTCATGTAACGTCATCTATTGACTTTTATTTGAATTAATTTTTCTTTGTTCGTGATGAGACCCCATGCTACTAGTTTACTTTTCCATTAAAATAATTTAAACGTGTTAATAAGCAGATATGCGAGCTAATATAAAATAGTACGTTGTAAGTAATAATATATGATCAATCTTGGTATAAAAATATAAATACCTATTTTTAAATCACAGAGTTTACAAATGTAGGTATAATTTTAAGGTTGACGGTTTGTCTAATATTATTCGGTAGACTTTTGACTGCTAGTTTAAAAAGGAGGAATCCTCTTCAAAACAGCTTTTTCTTCGCCTTGGAGTCTCTTTTTGTGGTTTCCTTTTATATATGAGGATTTTACTGGAGGATCCTCTGACGTTGTAATTTTTTTAGTGAGAAGTGCGGCTTAGGGATGTTACTTATCTTTAGGAAAATGCTTCTCCGTAAACAATATTTCATCAATTCGACAACTTTTAATTGCAATACAGCATGTTATGTACAAAATAATTTGTATTCCTTCTTTTCTTTTTATTAAAAGTTATATAGCCGACATTAATATGTATGTACTATATTACACAATGTATGTTTATTATACACAATAAGTATACAACATTTATTTTAAACATTTTTTTTTAAAGAAATCATAATAATGTTAATCTATCAAAATTTTAATAGACTAATAATATAAAAAAATATAGTTTATGTGTCAGTGTGAGACGTCATAAAATAATATAGTTTATGTCTGTTGTAGATCCTGATTTTACAACGAATTGCTCCGTTTCAACACGTAATCAGATCTAGTGATGTTTTTTTCTCTCTTTTACCAGTCCTTCTTAATATAACGTGTTTTCTCCATTCTACGCGACATTGGCGAAGTATTTTGTGCCCAATTGGCACTCCTGGAAGCCACTAAATAAAAGAATAGAATAGAATATAGTTTATGTGTCAGTGTGAGACCATTAACAACTTTTGTGCGTTGTCTTTGTCTAGCTTTTCATAGCTATCGAAATAAGAAATCGTCCTATGAAGTCCTAACCTAATCAAAATTTATCGAAAATTAGTCATCAAATCCGAATTTTTGCTTTATATTCGTCCTACATTGATATTATCATTTATATTCATTTTCATATTGAAATTTTACTAACTACCTTCCTACCGGGACCTCAATCCCCTAGTTCTAATTCCTTGAATTCAATTCAGTACCTATTTTTTATTTCATGGGATTTCAAACACACAAACCAACTGACCGACAAATTTTCTACAAATTGAAATTTCTTTAATTACTTATTATCAATCCTCCAAGCTAGTTTTTTTTGCTAATATAAACAATATACAGACCCGCGGAATTTTCATTCTTATAACCTTATGTTTTTTAAATTATAATAACAATAATATTAATAACAAACATCCATGCATCCAAACCGTAGAATTATCTGTCTACGATCCAAACTTTCGTATTTATATAGTAGTAAGATACGATCACTCTCGTCTCACTATGAGAATGATGAATGATGATCCCTTCTTAAATGTTAATTTACTTACATCTTAGTGAACAAAATAACGAATAAGAGGCGAAAATTAAATTAATTAATTAACTTCTTGTAATTACGGACGTAATGAATCTTTAAGAAAAGAAGGAAAGAAAAAATACAGTTTTAATAAATAGATACCTACCCAATAATATTTGTTGTATGCTAAAAGTATATTTTAATTAGCCCTGTAGCGTGTTAAACTATACGACACGATAAATTTTTATCAAATTATTAATAATTATTATCTAATGTAAGACAATCATTGAACTATGTTTATTACAATAAATAATGAAAAGGGGAATTTTCTGACTCATACTTCTTGTATGTGCATGGTAATTCCCCTAACATGTTTTCGTCATCAAAAACCTTGAACTTGTGTTACCATACTACCAAAAAATAAATTACCCTAAAAATTGTAGTCATACATTTGAATTTTTAATTTTAATTTATTGAATATTAATTATTCTAATTAATAAAGCAAATACAAAAAAAAACGTCTGTTTACTTTATAATCATTTTGATTTATATAATTCGACAAAATAATTTTAATTTACATAATGTTACGTGCTTATTTGTAGCTACACAATATATTTTATTGAAATATAAGCTTATATATTATGTATATAGGCATGTATAAACGAAATCCTATCCGATCGATTACGTGATTTGAATTATTCTTATGTTTAGTTTACAATATTAATTTAAAAAGGTTGTTTTCATAACCTTTTTTAATATTGTTAAACATTAAATAAAGCTAAGGATTAAAATTAAATGATATAAAACTTGAAAAATATATTTACTTAATAGAGTTTTTATTTAAATTAATTTCTTAAATCGATTATCTATTAGAAAATAAAACTATTTTGTATGTTTTTGTGACAATGAAAATATTTTTAAATCAGTAATTTATTTTCAGTTTATTATAAATCGTATTTCTTTCTTAAAAGGATACTCAGTTTAGTAATAAAATGTAGCCTCCTATAGTCCTAAAAGATTTCCTTACTTAAGAAACCTTTCTCAGAAGGATCTACTAAGATTTATTTATTATAGTAAGTTTTGTAAAATTGTAAATGTGTATAAAACAAAAGGAGCATTATATTGATTTATTTAAAAACTACAAAATATTAATTGCACAAGATGTGTTACTTAAAATTTGGAACATTCTTTTTTTATTTCAAAGGGTATACTTCCCAGGTGTTCCAATTTAAATTTTATCGAAATCGGTTGAGCGGTTTTTCAAAAATCAACAATAAATGATTAAAAAATATTAATAACAAAAACACTTCTAAAATTTAACGATTATTAAAAAACTTTCTTCTTACAAATTACCTGCTTATTACGTCTAAACTAAAAATGGAAAGATAAATTCTTTTTATAATACTTTCTTAGATTTACGCGAATGTTTGACATTATTAAATAAAACTATCTTTTCGGATTATTTCGCGGATTTATTTTGATTTTTGGTTCCCGACGTTTCGAATGCTTTACAGCATCCATGGTCACGGGAGAGACTGAGGTGTTACATGTCTTGAAGGTATAGTTGTTACAGACATTATTTTTATAATTAAAAATAATAGTAAGTAATTAAATAAATAATTTTCCATATTCAATTATAATTAAAATTATAAAAATGTTTAAAGTTAAAAAATATTGTAATGTAATTGGTGCAATTTTCATTTTGTTAATTGTGGGTAGGCTGTCTGTAACAACTATACCTTCAAGAGATGTAACACCTCAGTGTCTCCCGTGACCATGGATGCTGTAAAGCATTCGAAACGTCGGGAACCAAAAATCAAAATAAATCCGCGAAATAATCCGAAAAGATAGTTTTATTCAATAACATTTTATAAAAAAATAAAAACCGACTTCCAGACACTAAAAAGTAAAAAATAACTAAACAGGGGTTTTCATTTAGAATACATACCTAATCAGAAAATTTCGAAGTAGGTGCCAGTCGACAACGCTTTAAGATATGAATATCTTATAAGTAAATATAACAAGGTATGAACTCTAATTATAGGTAAAATGTTATACATTAATTTGTGTTATATTTATACGTATCGAAATAGGTTTGCTTTACTTTGCAGTGGCTGGCACCGACTTCGAAAATTATCTGATTAGGTGCCTATTCTAAATTAAAACCCCCATTTAGTTGGTTATTATCAATATACATTATGTAGGTATTTGTGGAAATGTGCGACTGCAACACCGTCCGTATCCGTAATATGAAATGTCAAAACAAATGTACAAGACGCAAGTGTTATCTGCGCTGTCATATTCGTTTTCTTTGTAATAATTAATAATTAAATGGATAAAGTGCACGGTGAAATATTATAAGCAAATTTTTTTACATTAGAAACATAAGAGAAGAAATATAAATAAGAGTAATTATTGCTACTGAAGTCTTGTAATCTGAAAACTATAGTGTAAAGTTATTTTGATAAGTTGTCTACACACGGTCATTTATTTTCCTGCAAATTGCAAAATGTCTACAAGTGAAGCAGAAACAAGTGATTCTAATATGGAATCTCCATTTTCGCAAGGAATAGAATCACCATACAGCTCACCATCTCAAGAAGTACCTCAACTCACCAGTAATATATCACAATTATCATGGCTTGAAAAATCATTTCGGCAAAATGGCAAGAATTTTTATTTATAACTTTAGCTTATCTTAAAGTACTTTCATTAGGTTTCAAAATGGCAAGTTTATAAAGAGCTTCGTTTTTCTTTACATACATTTAAAACAATATGTTGCTGTTAAAATGTAAAAATAAACTGCAGTAATGCAGATATATTTTAGTGAACTAAATAACTTATGTAAATTTTCTGTTTCTAAGACATTTTAAATATTCATTTCCATATTGATAATTATATTATGATTTAATGAAGTATTCATAGAATTTAACTATAATTTATATTTTTGTAAATTACTTTTACCAGAATAATTGAAGACCAAAATAGTGGTAATTAAAATGTTTATTTGAAGATGCTAAAGATAGCAAAAGTATTTCAAGATTTTATTTATATACTAGCGACTCACCATCACCTACTTTCATCCCAATTTTCTAAGTTTGTGCACAATTTTCTTATTTTTTTTAATGTAAGAAACTTCTAAGAAGAAGTATTAGAGAACATTTAAAAAAATGTATGAAATTGGTAAAGCCGTTCTCAAGTTTATAACTTTTGTTATTATAATAGAGTAAAGACAAAGCGATTGTGATATTTAGTTATTGTATAAGCAAGATTTGTTTTTTAATTACTTCATGTGTTTCATGGATTTTAAATACATAAAAATAATTTTCATTAATTTGTACAATCGTAAATTGTGAAAATAGTCAAGTCTATGACCGTTCCCATTGACACAAATTTAAAAATCAAATCACATAGTAATCCATAGAGGACTAGCGACTTACCCTTGCCTTGCTTGGGTTCATCTCTAGGTTTATTCCTCATACAAAATTTCATCCCCATTTTCACCCCCTTAAGGGATGATTTCCGGTATAAAAACTATCCTATGTACTACCAGGGTCTCAAACTATTTTCTTACCAAATTTCATTTAAATCGGTTCAGTACTTTCAGAGCCTATTCAGTACAAAGAAACAAAAAATCAAATCTTTCCTCTTTATAATATTAGTAGTATAGATTAATAATATTTATCTTTTATTTTAGGAAAACAACCAGAATTGGTTATTGTGGCACAACCACAAAATCATTTCCGCTTTAGATATAAAAGCGAAATGATTGGAACGCATGGTTGTCTAGTTGGCAAGAGCTCGAATAATAGTAAGACAAAAACCCATCCAACAGTTGAGGTAATATTTGTTTTCATAATAATATAAATATATATATATTATCTTTTATGTCTAGTTTATGCCTTTGGAAATACTTCCTATCCCATATTGTCCTTAGTTAAGGTGTGTGCAATGAAATGTATAAAGGAGTTTTCGCTTCAACACTACACTTTAAAATAGCATTTTTCAATGTGCAATCGATCACTAACTTTCTTAATGCATAACTAATTTATTAAGTTACTGTGAGCTTTATACATCTAAAAAGTCACAGATATTTAAAATAAATGTAAAAAAATTATTGTTGTATAAATGCAAAAGTTTGTAGATATGTGTGTTTATTACTATTTCATACTGAAATGGCTGAATGGATACACATTTACTTTAATACACACGAGACTGAACTGGATTATAATACAGGTTATGTGTTAGGCACATAGGGACATACCCGAGTAAAGCAAGGGTAAGAGAGTAGTTAAAATATATGCCTACATTTTATCTATTTGCATTACTTCATTTGACAGTTCCATATCTTTTGGTTGGTTCATAAGTTTACTAATAAAAGATGATAATAGTGGCTAAAGTATGCATTCGTTTATCAGTATGTTAGTCATGATTATCTGAAATCCCCACCTCTGAGCAACGATGCTCGCACCTATCACAAACGGCTTCCGTCTTGTTATTATATAATAAATATAATTATTTCTAGTGCAATGGTCAATCTGACTCATCCAACCGCACATTAATCTATACACTATATATATTATATGTGACATAATTTTTTTAATTAAAATTGAAAATGTAATATTTTAAAGTATTACATCATCTTTCCCTTGTTAGGTACATTGAATATTTATTCGAAAGACTATGTAGGAACTAGGATATGCAGTTTATCTATGGTTACTTTATCCATACTCACTAGTATTATAAATGTGAAAGTGTGTTTGTTTGTTTATTTATTTATTTGTTTGTTTGTCCTTCTTTCACGTCGAAAGTCGAAACCGATTGACAGATTGGCGTGATTTTTTGTGTAGAGATAGATAGTGGAAGGGTTAGAGTGACATAGGCTACTTTTTACCGCGGGAGAAATACATCCCATAAGGGGATAAAATAGAGGATGAAAGTGTGAATGAAACCTACCTTTTTAGGGTATTTTTTTGTATTTTTAGCGCAAGCGAAGCCGCAGATTCTTCTAGTAGTTCATAATTATTACATATAATTTAGGTAAAGCATCTTTTGACAGACTTAATAATTTACTTCAAACTTTGTACGAACTTCGAAGATCACTTTGTAGTTTTATTTGCACAAATATAAACATAATATGTTAGGACATCTTAAACTTTGTTTATAACATTAACTAATTTTTTTGCTCTGTACCTATCATATACCTAATATCTGTTTTTAAGGATCACACTTGAAACAAAGAAAATTATAATCACTTGTTTAAAATATTTATTTCAAAAATTGCAAAAATAACCATAATATAGACATAGGATAAAAAACTATAATTATTTCCAAAAATCATTTAGTTAATAACACTTAATATGTTAATTACAGTTTTTATAAATTAGATGATGCTAATTTGTTTTTATTTAATAAGTAAAATATTTTTTGTGTGTTTTGATGACTCAACACATTAATTATAATATGAATTAAAAAAATCAAGTTTTTTCACATAATTTGATTTTAATTATAATATTTAACTACATTAACAGGCTACAACAAATATAAGCTTTTTATATAATAATATTAGGCTAATGTGTTGTCTCTGGTCCTAAAATAAATTGAAATTTACTACACTTTGGCTTCACTCGGTAAACAGCTTATTTCTTTCACAAGTCCTCTAAATAACTTACATACAAAAAATCATATTAATTAGTCGACGTTATTGTTGATAAACCTAAATATTAACTTATTTTAAGCCTTTTCATATAGGTAAATGTTTAAAATTTTAATATGTAATGTATACAATAGATATGATTAGCGATGTGTTTAATTTTAGCTAAAAAATTATGATGGGAAAGCTCTTATAAGATGCAGATTAGCAAGACATGATAATAAACAGGAGCATCCACACAAGTTGCTTGAAGATGAACAAGATCACGACGTCAACAGCGTTGTGCCTCGCAACGGTTCTTACAGAATAGCGTATGTATCTGTTATATATAAATATTGTGTATATTATTATATCTTAACTACAATTGAAATATACTAATTATCAGCCTTCGTCCTTGTTCGTAATTCTTGCGCGTCCTTATATATTTTTTCTAATAATTCATGGGTGGTAAACCATGAATTATTAGTAATGCGTTTGCTTGGAAAGCCAAGTGAAGCGAGCTCAAAGCCGATTCTCACACCTCAAAGTGTTTCATTTGTTTAAACGGCAGAAGTAGAAGAGGGAAGCAACTTAATGTCTTACTCACATTTGCCCAGCTTTTTTATGGCAGTAAAGTAAATTAACAGTGTGAGGTTGCATTTTTCTATATGAGTGTTAATGAAAGAATAAATATATATATATATATATATATATATATATATATATATATTTGACTAATTTATTATAATTATTATTATAAATTATGCAACTCATTCTTTAAAACAGCAACTGTTGAGTTTCTCGCCGGCTCTTCTCAGCGGAACTGCTTTCCGAGTCAGTGGTAGCTACCACACAGGCAGACGTACCTACTTACGATTGTAAAATAATTAAATTGATGTTGCAAAAGTGCTAATTATAAGAATATATGCAAAAAATATCTCAAAGTTTTATTAGTGTCAACCTAAAACAGACAATTTTTTAACAGATTTAGCGGCATGGGCATAATTCACACTGCTAAGAAAGACGTCCCAGAGTTGCTGTACAGAAAGTACGCACACGAAACACCCGGATCGAAGTTTAATGAAAATAAGGTAATATTTTATTTTCTAAAAATATTATATTGGTACATTGCATCTTATTAAATTTCTATTTGTAGCCATTCTGTGATTTTTTGTACTACTAAAACTCACAAACTTATGATCTTAAGAACTTGAAAAAAGTGTAAGCTAAAAAATATATTGAAAGGGTCGTATTTAAAAAGGTCACTGTTCTATACACAGCTAGGGTAATTTGAATGTGAATTTTAATGGGTAGGTTGACACTTAAAAATTATCTTAAGTGTGTTTTAAGTAGGTGACTAGGAAGTGAATGATTTATATTCAGTAATAGAAAAAACTGGCTTCTTTCCAGTATATCCCTTATCTATATAAATTAAATTAAATCACCGAAATGTATGTACGTGCACAATTTCATTTGTTCTATTTCTCTTCTTACACCCCAATGACATTGAGCATTTTTTTGCTATGTACAGACATTCGACCTCTACTGTCTTATTATAGTATAGATAAAAGGAATATCATATTACTATCATAAAACTACAAAATGACAAACTAAGAATAGAGAGTTTTAAGGTTGAATCATCCCTTTTAGCACGTTCACCAATTCTGGACCCCACATGATGTGTTACTTAAATTATAAGGTTTATTACTAATCTTTCTTATTTCAAGAAAATATAATAGTTTCTGTAATACATATTTTGTCATTGTATGGTCTTAACATCCCTCACCTGATTATATGTACGACATAAACTTCTGGGCTATAATAGTAGGGCTGCTTTAAGTCCTGTAAAACATGAAGACACACTGGAAATAAAATTGAGTTCAGTTAACATCGGTCTCGCATACACGACAGACGTGTGTATTAATATTACATTAAAATTTTTACAACTTCGCCTTATATTTAAAAAAAAAACAATTATTATGTTCTTCTGTAAAAAATGTGGTAGGTTTATTGTTATTATTTTTATTCTAGCTAAGAGCGCAAGCCGAGAATGATGCTAAAACTATAAATTTAAATATCGTCCGGTTAAAATTTAGTGCTCATGATTTGACAACCGATGAAGAGATTTGCCCGCCAGTGTTATCAGAACCCATCCACAATATGAGTAAGTGGTTATGTGATTAGGTGTATATTATTATAGTATTATTTCAATAAGTTCCTTAAAGTATATGTAATATGAATCTTTTGATAATGTTTGGACTTTAACACACAGCACCATCTAGTTCCAAGGTAAGCTACGAGGCTTGTGTTACACACAAATGAATGCCCCCAGCGGGAATCGAACCCGCGACCGCTGGCGCAGCTAGTAGGGTCACTACAAATTGAGCCAAATGTGTCGTCAATATGATATGAAGTATGTGTACATATAAATATTGACGATTTATGTTTTGAGTTATTATTTATTAAATTCAATTTAAAATTTTAATGTGAACATTTCTCTAGCTTAGTTTATATCGTTGCTGCGAATTCCTGGGAAATGAAATGCAAGACCTTATTAATTTTAATTAAATTGTAGACTATACTATAAGTGTATACTTACAGACTTATAGTCTACACGGGATTCCTTTTGCTATTTCAATTGATTTAAAAGTACTTTTTATTCATCTAAAAGTAACTAAAATGAATATCATAATTTATAGAAAGCGCGGCAACAAACGATTTGAAGATATGCCGTATCAGTTGCTGTACTGGACGCCCAAAAGGCGGAGAAGATGTTTTTATATTCGTTGAGAAGGTAAATAAAAGTAAGTGCGATTTAATTATTTATAGATTATAGAATTTAATTTTATCAATTACAATTTATAAAAAAAAAAACTTTTTTTAATATGGTCATGACGTAGGTACCCCCTACAATCAAAACGAATTACCAGGTATTTTTATTTATTATATTTATACTGCTCACCCAAAATTTAATTTAGTCAAATATATTTTTTCTGTTTCGCTGAGCGCTATAATATTCATATTCGATAATAAAAAAAGTCGCGTTTTCGTATAACTTAAAGGCTGAAACCCTTAAAATTGTTAGTTTGCCCCTTTTTGTATAAAAAAAGGATATTACGTATATTCATTTCATTTAAACAGATCGAACTTTTTTCTTTTCCTTTTATAACTCGTTTGTATGGAATAGATATCGATCCCTTGCTCTGTGAAAAACAAAAACTAATCTATCCCACGGAAACCATACATTTTTCCGGGATAAAAAGTAACCTATGTGCTATTCCAGACTATAATCTATCTCTTTGCTAATTTTCATCCAGATCCGTTCAGCCGTTCTGTCATGATTGTTGTTTTGTCGTGTTAGTTTACTAACATTAAAAAGGAATATTTAAATATTTTCGTATCATCATCGTTTTAATTTAATGCACAATATGCTATGGTTTCTTCTTAATGTTATCAACTTGAAAGCACTTAAAAGAGTCGTTTTGTTTATATTTTGAACTATCCAACGTTAGTTATCTTAGTGATAATGTCTATGCCTAACTACTCACGTCTCTATTTAACAAAATAATACAATGTAACTGTATAATAATGCTATTTCATATCAGCCCTTTGCATTGTTTTAATATTCAATTTATACTGTAAATAACACCCACATATTTTCTGGATAATCGTATGGCAACAAAGTATTATTATTATATTAACAGAACCCGCGGCTTCGCTCGCACTAAAACTACAAAAAACTCTTAAAAAGGTAGACTTCATACAAACTTCATGGCCTATTTCACCCCTTTATGAAATGATTTCGAAAAATGCTAAAACACGTACATATTTATTCAAATTATTGTATTGGAGAGCGTTCAAGTAATTTTGATCATAAATACTTTTTCGGTTGTATTATAACGCGTTTTCCGTGGTAAAAAGTAGCCTATGTCACTCTCCAGCCCTCCAACTATCTCCACACAAAAAATCACGCCAATCCATCATTCCGTTTTCACGTGAAAGAATGACAAACACACTTTCACATTTATAATATTAGTATGGGTTTTTGTTTGAGAGTATACGTATAGCATTTTTTATATAATTCCGTGGGTCTAGTCTTTGAATTAAGGTCCGTGGGTTCGTGTCCCGAGGAGGGCAGGAATGTTATTAACTTATTCTGTCTAAATATAAGTCCGCATGTAGTTACGCCGTTGAAAGTGCTTTAAAGAGAGTATGATAATATAGATTCTATAGGTCAGAGGAGTTTGCACCTGTAGTGTTTTACCTAAAATCTTAGCTCGTAGCTCTTATCGCTGTAAGCGTCAAAGTGCAATTTGTTTACACGTAATCCAAGCACAATTCTACAAAGTTAACTTATTCTATGAACGATATTCAAAAGCACATAAGATGAACACACATGTATTATTTTATATATATATATATATATATATATATATATATATATATATATATATATATATATATATATATATATAAGAATGATTTATTAATTTCAATATTATTACGAACTAAACACATATTTTTTATTTATGTAAATAAAAAAAATGCTGTTCGTTAATAAGAGTATCACTTAAAAATTGCTTTAAGAGCTTTTTCCTATAACTGAAATGTTTGATAGTTCGAATAAAGTTTTTTTTTTAAAATAGGCATAGTTGCGTGTTAAAATTGGCAATTTCGGGAAAAACTAAAAGTGTTTTTTTATTATAACATTATTATATAAACTCAAAGATCACAAACTTTATTGAATGAAATATGGACAAAACAAACTTCTGTCGGGTCAGCGCGTTAGAATCTTTAACCGACTTCCAAAAACGAGGAGGTTCTCAATTCGTCGGAATCTTTTTTTTATGTATGTTCACCGATTACTCTAAGACGCCTAAACCGATTTGGAAAATTTTTGTTTTGTTTGAAAGGGTAAACATACCGGACAATATTTTAAAATATGAATATCTAATAGGTAAATATTTATTTTACGTATGCGAATTTCCTATGCGAAAAAAAGATTTCCTATGCGTCGGCTGGCACCGACGTCGAAAGTATCTGATTAGGTAATGTATTTAACACTAAAACAACAAAGAGGTTCATCAAAGCAACTCATGCGTGCTCTCAACTATGATTATGTGACTGTAATATAGAAACATAATACATATATTATCACAATCACCAGAGGACTCGCACATCCGTAAAAAATTACTTTAAAAATTATATTTAAACCATTCTAAACTTTATCGCCAATAATGGCAATTTTACAATCTTTTAAGAGAGTCTTTGCTTATATTTTTGTATATGGGATATATTTGGAAAATAAAATATTATTTAAAATACTAGCGACTTTAATTCGATCGGGTTTTAATTTTCTTAAGCGTTACCTTAATTCTTTTTCTAGAACTAAAGTATCCTAAGTTGCTCCTTGTAATATCAACTATCTGCCAATGAAAGTCCCGTCATATTGGGTCCAGCCGTTTCATAGATTAGATAAAATAAACAGACAGGCAGACATTTTTTTTTTAAATTGAGTTTCTTTTCTCTTCTTCTACCGTATATAATTTTATATAGTTTATATTACACTAGTAAAAACATTACTAGTAAAAAGCTGCTATTTTGACATTACAAACACTATATAGGTAGATTGTATTTGAAAAACCTTAAATCGTCATATGTTTTTTTTTTAACTTTTTTTAATTTTTTTAATTCTCTTTCTTCTCTTTCTTTTACTACTAATGTTATAGTAATTTACTCGTAACATCAATCTACAACTCTTGATTTTACTATGTACCTACTTAACTTTTTAGTGGCGATTATTCGTGTAATCAATATAAAAGTACGAAGAAAACACTTTCAAGTAGATAACTCTCTGATAATACACTTGTATTAGAAATGAAATTAAAATATAGTATGAAACAGCAGGCATCCATAATTGGTATTTGAAATGTACTTAACTTAAATTTCCGTAATTTTACTGAAATTTACATTGCACGTCGAGTCGTGTCGAGTCGTAAAACTAATTTCATTCGATGAAGATATTTTATTTTGATCGCATACATATGAAGAGTGTCGACTATTTTTTATATATATATATATTATTTTTTTTCAGAAAATATAATGATAAACTTCTTTGAAGTTGAGAACGGTGTTCGCGTCTGGTCTGACACTGGCAAGTTCTTGCAGAACGACGTACATCATCAGTACGCCATTGCCTTTAGGTGATTTAAATATTTAATAGTTTTTCATATAAACAATATACATACATAATTTTACATTAAAAATACACCGGGATCTAATTTTTTTTTCAAACTTCATATAAAGCCAAACTGGAGATATGATACACGAATCATTAAAAAAAATAATTTATATGCATTTTTGAATGAATGTAAAATAATTGTAAATCAATTCATAGCGAATGTGTTACAAAATAACAAACTCAAATGTAGGACTAAAGATAAATGTGCTTAGCCATGTTGACTTTTGCGAATCATTATTACCTACCATATAGTCAGAATTTATTTTCATTGTTAAATTGTTTATTGGGTTTTTAGAAAAAAATCATAATATACGTAGATGTCATCCAGAAGTAGGATCTTTTTTTTATCTACGTATCTTTTTTAAATTCAAACGGTGTTCTAAGTAATAAAGCACCGTGAACTGCAAGTGAATTGACAGAAGATGATAAATTAATATATTTATATTATCTAGGTGATTATATATAGTGTAACCTTGGCCGATAAAAATCTATTTAAAAAAAATGTAAAAAAGACGCGAACTTTGATATTGTTTCCGTGTTTTTGATGAAAGAGAGAGAGAGATGTCGGTATAACCTTATGGTGACCATGTAGTCATTAATTGTTTGTAAAATTGTAATTATAAATTCAGTAACTCATTATTTAAAAGAGCAACTGTTCAGATTCTCGCCGGCTCTTCTCAGCAGAACTGCCTTCCGAGCCGGTGTTAGCTTCCATACAGACAGACATACTGACTTTTAAAAAAAATAAGTTGATGTTGCGAAAGTACTGAATATAAGAATATGTGCTAATAATTTCTTGATGTTTTATTAGTGTGATTCTACACACTATATCGAGTAAATATGCAGTTACGCCTTGAAATTGAATTCGATTGAAAGGCAACAGAATAATATAATACAAGTGGTTTATACTATAATTTATATATAATATAATTATACTGTTAGCTTATTATACTAAATTATATTATTATAGTAATATTACACTAAAAAAACACTCTCCTGTGACCGTGATTGTTGTAAAGCATTGAAACAACAACGTTGAAACGTCGGGAACCGTAAATCAAAATAAATCCGCGACAAAAACCGAAAAGATAGTTTTATTTAAAATGTTAAATATACGTGTAATTCTAAGAAAGTATTATACACTAAATTAATTAATTTTCTCACAACTAAAAGGTTTCTGGAAGATATTTCATTAAGAGATAATCTATCTTTTGTCCACATATTTTTGCTTTATTTTGTTTAATCGTACATAAATAAATACATATTTCCTATCATCAATTAGGACACCGCCATATAGAGACCTGGATATAACGACAGAAGTTAAAGTGTTCTTGGAGTTGGTTCGACCTAGTGACGGGAGGACCAGTGAGCCTCGAGAGTTCACCTACAAACCCGGTTATGGCGGCATACACAAGAAAAGGAAAGCTAATTCGTCATATTCCTCCATGGAAAGCAATTCAGGTAAGTAATTCTACCTTTACATTATTACAATTGTAGTAGGTGACCCGCGTGAAAAGCTTTTTTTTCTACGTTTACGATTATTTAGGAAAAAAATACTATTTAAGCGCTCTATTCCCTCACTCCCATAGAGCGATGGATAAGGTTTGGTACTTGCATAGAAAGATTTGGTACAAATTCTTCTGTAATAGTGTCCTGACCAATTTCTGCCACGGTGGCTAATCTGACTAAGACTAACCAACTGTGCAGGAGATATTATCGTTAACAAGTGTACGCGCAGACACAACGTGCACTCTCTATTTATGCTACATTGTATTTGTACTTCGAGGAACTGCGTCCGTACATGATAGGCAATGGACAGTGGTAGCCCAATGGTAACGCGCTTACTTGGGAAACCGAGCGAAACGGGTTCAAATCCCGGATCTCGCACCTATGTTATTTTCATGTGCGAAACATTACCAACATGATTACTACTTGCGTTACGGGGAAGGAAAAATCGCGAAGAAACCTGCATGTCTGAGAGAACCTAGCAAGTTTTCCAAAGACATGTGTAGTCCGCCAACCCGCACTCGGCCAGCGTGGTGGACTATGGCCTGATCCCCCTCGTATGTAAGGGAGGCCCGTGCCCAGCAGTGGCTGAATACGTACTAGCCACTAGACCAACGATACAGAAGCTCTACTGAGAATTTGTAGACAGAAACAATAACTAGAATTCACCTACCTTCATATAACCCATCCACAAGAAACGAGATTAGTTACAGTAATTCAATTTGAGGCCTTGCAAGCTCCTCTATCTTTCAGTGAAAGTCCCGTTACAATCGGTTAAACATATATGTAATATTTGGATTTGGATACCTCAGGCAAACAGAAAGACAGTCACAAAATTAAAAAAAAGGTTGATTAAGTATACAGTATCATAATATAAATAACTATGTACTTGAGTTAACATAGATATATTGAAATTAAAGACAGACACATCCATTTTTTTATATGTATAAATAATTATAGCTGTAACACTAATTTTATGCAGTCGTAATAGTGTTTTGACGCTCTCATTCTATGTTTCAAGAAAAGTCATACTTTTCTTTATCGCAGCATTTTATGGTAAACTAAACATTTTCTTACAATTGTAAGATCGGAACAAATATTTGCTTCTTGCAGCAACCGAACCCGCGGTCTTCGGCATACCAAGTAGTTCTAATCAGTAAAAAATATAAATATTAACTAATAAGAATTCCAAAGATGTATATTCGTAATTAATGCATAATTTTGATTTTTCAGAGAATTCATATAAATTTCGTTTTAACGAAATACCGACAACTATAGAATTCGTAAATGTAAGTAAACATTTGAAAACCTTTAAATGCAATACAATTTAATGCTGTATATTTTATTGATTAATTTATTTATTTATAAAATCATATGTTTATTATACAGCAAAATGGAAATTACGACATGGAAACAGACGAAATGATGAAGGAGATGCCCACCATGGCAGTAAGTTTTATAACTATATGTATTTATATATCTGTAAATTAGTTATTATAAACACCAATGCAGTTAATGAAATAATTAATAAGTATCTCAGACTAGTGTATCTTTGAAGTGAAACTTCTTTAGAATCGTTATGATTTAAAACGGAAATGCGACACTAAAAAGAAACAAACACATAATATATAGGATTATGCCGGCAAGAGAATGAGGTAGAATACATTGCCATGTTGCCATGGTAACCGTTGTTATTGTCCGACAAATATATAATATTATATTCATTCGGTATTAAGATATTCTATAAATATATGATTCTAATATAGGTAGGTACCCAATATGCCTTATTTAATTATTTGAGATAGAATACACTATACAGGAAGTGAAAAATAATAAATTAAATGACTGAGTAATATGGAATGTAAATTTATGTCAAATGAAATGTAAAATAACTTTTAAACTTGTTAAAAATATTACAAAAAAAATAAACCTTATAGTTATCCTACTCATCTCATTCTCTGTTTCTTTTCTGAAGTTTCATTTCTATCATGTGTGAATTGCACACACACGCACTTACTTTATAAATATTCCTTTGTTCACAACGAGTTTTCGACTTACTCTCGCTTCACTCGGGCAAGTCGTTAGGTGCCTTCTTTTCTTGTGGGTTGTATAATAACGTATTTTCCCGTAGGAATGGGATAAGCCCGGCTCAGCCCTCCCAACTATTTTCACACAAAAATCACACCAATCCGTCACTATTTTTCGACGTGAAACAAACATACTTTCACATTTATAATATTAGTATGGATATACAGACAGCGTCAGTTTTTGCATCACAGTAACTTGCCACGCGATTGCAAACCCGTAATTTCGAACCCGTTCGCCATGAATATTAGGTAGATTTGTAACGAATATTCGGCTGTTATTCGGTATTCGGCCTATTCGGCTACTTTTATCGTATTCGGCCGAATACCGAATACTTAAGTAATATGCTTTGTTGTAATCTGATATTAATTGGGAATGTGCGTGTGCTTTAAAGAAAGGTGAAATATTTTTTTATAGTCTTTATTGGTTTTGAGTTAAGCCTATATTCATATTTTTTAATGTAATTTCTTTTTAATTAAGAAAATAATTATAAAAAATGTAAAACAGGTGGGAAATTCAAAGTAGTTGAAACGCAGCGCCATTGGTCAGACCGAATATGACGTCAGAGTATATCATAACAGAGAGATTAGCGATTTGGTCGATTACAAATTGAGCCGTCATTTCTGTGTCTATCACAGTATTCTGTGTCTGTAACAGTATGATACATATTTTTTTATACGAAAATTTTAGTTCTTTGGAGCTGCATATTTTTTAACAATTATATAACGATGTAAGCTATAGTATAAAAAATCAAAAAAAAATCATGCATATTCTCCTTTTGGTAAAAAGAAAGTATTGATTTATTTTATAGTAATAAATTTTATTATAATCATTGAAGTAGTAGGTATGTAATAACCTTCTTTATTATAAAAATTAATAAAAAAACGATCAAATAAGTAAATGTCTAAGCACTTGCATTAGTAAAATAAAGTTTAGAAGTGGAAGGTTATGATGCAAAAAGACTATTTTTATGCACATTCCTAGACAATACCAGATTTATAGAAAAGACACTCTGAATAAATACTACTTCCTGGCGCCAAACTAAAAACAAACACGTAGTTACAAGTTTTGCGCGCTGACCGAATAATTTTGCCTAATATTCGGCTATTCGGCCAGAAAGCCCACCGAATATTCGGTATTCGGCGTATGGCCAAATGTACTATTCGTTGCAAGTCTAATATTAAGTTTTATTTACAACAACGCATTAGGCCGCATTTCTCTTCGAATCAAACGCTGCGCTTATACCGTCGTATATATAAGTATATAGCACATGGATATAAAATGGGTTGTCTTAAAGAATTATTTAATGTTTTAGCTACCACAAACCGGCCAAATAGCAGCGACATCCGATTCCATGATGGCCGATGCGATGTGTACTCAAGGGCCGGGTGTGCCGATGTTAGGGCAGTACACGTCGTTTAGCCCTTTACTGAGCCAGCCAAATGTACCGGAGGCGCCCGTGCCGGTCCTACAGTTGAATTCCTCAGATATAGACAGAATAGTAAACCATGAATTGCCTTCCGCGGATGAGAAGAAGCAGTTACTGAGTACGGACTTGAGTGGTAAATATTATTATTATTGATATTTATTAAATTTTGACTGATATACAAATACACTTTTTTTTATTTTAATCACATTTTAATAATATTTTAAATGTATCAAGATGCGTTCCAAGATGTCTTTCGTATTTATAATAAATAATATAATATTATACAAGCTCTAATAAGGGACGACTTCTTTCGACATAATTCACGAGTATCGTCATACGGGTAGCTTATTTCTGCAATGAATGAATAAAAATTAATGAATCTACCTGTCTAATAGTGAAAACCGAATGAAAATCAGTTCAGTGGTTTTTTAAATTAGCCCCAAACATCACAATCTCAGCGATGCGTGGGACTAAGCTAAATTAAGATATGTAATCATTATTTTTTCTCGATAAACCACTATAGGGAGCATCGGATATGTAACAATAATGACTTTTTTATAACTTTTTTTTAATTTAATATGTTAATTAAAACACAATATTATGTTTTTACTAATAAATTAACTTACATAATTTTAACTGTATGTATAAGCGTCTTTATACCTATAAACTTACATATATTTAACTAACACAAGTTTATTTCTTTACTTATAGATTACTTCAAACATTTCAGTGCATCGCTCGATGAGGATTTGGTAAGTGGTAACTTCGTAAAATCTTATATAAATAACTTTAAATATTGCTATTTTTGTATAGATTATACAATATGATTAACATTACAATTATAATTCCGTAATGAACAGTCTCTTTGTTTTTGTTAGGTCTAAAAGGTATACGTGTTAATAAATAATTAGTTATACTCTTGGACGACATATTTGGTTCAATTTGTAGTGACTCTGCTTGCTGTGCTAGCGGTCGCGGGTTTAAGTTCCGCTGGGGCCATTCATTTGTATGATGAGCGCCATTGTTTGTACTCCAGTCATGGGTGTTTATATTTATATATATATTTATAATATGTATATATTTAAAGTTATATATGTGTGGTGTATCAACTGTCTGGTATCCATAACACAAGCCTCGTAGCTTACCATGGAATTAAATGGTGCTGTGTGTTAATAGTCCAACATATTTATTTACTCTATAGAAAAATAGTGCAATGAAAACATAAGGGTACTTATTTTACCAATTTAAATCATACATATGAACAACTGTACATGACAATTTAAAGTTGGCTACCGATCCGATACCGATGGCTAAGTAATCGATACTTCAAATTGTTAAGTTTAATTATAAATATATATGTATGAAATGGATTTTCTATATCTATACTAATATTATAAAGAGAAAAAAAATGTTTTCGTATGTTTGTTTGTAACGGATAATGGAAATCATCCTATAAGGGGGTAAAAGTGGGTGAACGTTTGTATAGGGAATCAATCATTTTTCAAGTAAGGAATATAAAACTCATAATACCTATACTAATTGTTAAAGCGTACCTAAGGACGAATCGCTAGTATGAAATAATTCCTACCAATATAGCGTGAAGGAATAACAAACGTAGACAAATACAAACTTGGGGCCATTCAAGTATTACGTAAGCAGAATTTTAGTAATTATTATTCCCTCCCTCTCCCTCGTCAGCAAAAGTGAGCAAAGCTCTTACTCCCCCCTCGTATGCTTACGTAAACATTGGTACATATATTTTTTTTATCTGTTCAGGTTTGCTATTGTTATACATAAGCAGCATCTATCATCAAGTCATTTATTATATTTTGATTGGACGAATGAAAATTACTAAATTTTGCAGAAAATCCAAAAAAGTAAATAAATAAACTTTGCTGACGTAAGCACCTTCTAGACCCCCCGTCCCCCATGTCATCAAAAGTAAGAAAATCAAAGACACCCCCCCCCCCCTTCCCCCTGGTGCTTTCGTAATATTTGAATGCCTTTAGCATTTATAATATTATCTAGAATTTTATGTAGTACGATTTTTTATACTATATAGTTTTTATGATATACAAATTTTACATAAGATTTTTTTCTCCCATATTGTTTCCAGCCGGGTACAATGGCGCACTTCCTAAAATCTTCAATGCTGGTTCCAGATTCCGGGAAGCCTGTGGTAATATATTTTGAAACCCTTGAAATAATCTTATATTTTTATCTATACAATGTGATTTAATTAGATTATGTATTCGACTTGAATAAAGCTGACCCAAAGAAATGACTTGTATGGTAACTACTTGAATGGTACTAGACATTAGAAAGGTCATTCTATCTACGGCGAATGAAATGATCAATTGTTTCTAGTGTATCCAGTTTTTATAACAATTTCGTCAGAGATTTTTCTTTCTGTGAGAAAGAACACAAAATCTAGTAGCAAACTGTGTATGTTAGCTACTAAAAGGTGACTTAATTTACCCGACCGTGCCTACGCCCAAAAGGAGGGTAATGTGTTTGCCCTGCATGTATATCCAACTTTGTGTTATTCCTTAGTACGTGTTAATTTTTTTTAATAATAGATAATCGAATTTAATGATATATTATGTATATATAAAACTACTTGCTGAAAAGTCAAGAGATGTTCCTTGATAATTTAAGAGAAATGTGCTACGAAATAAACATTTAGTACATTTCTCTACGTGCAAAATTACCCTAAGACGTGTGTTAAAAAATATTATTACTTATCTAATATGGAAAGTATTAAAGACTTCTAATTTTTATTTCTATAGAATGTAAAAACTTTACCCGAAAATGACAATGTCAAGAACATAAAAAAGAAAAACACTGATTATTCAGCGTCATACAAATACGAAGATGGCGTAGAAGTGAAAAAGGTAAGATTTTTTATTACATTATATTTCAATATATATATAGAGGAATGGGTATAAATAATAAAATTATTTATTTTACTGCTTGGTGCTTCTTTAAATTGACATAACTTCTACTTATGAACCGATTGAAATAAAACAAATACTAAATGTTAAGTGAAGCTAACCACAATACTTTAGTGAAAGTCTGAGATTAGCGCGCACACACGTACAGACAAACAGACAAAAGTTCTAACAATCATTGGTTTAGGTTCTTTTGCGTTAATAAAGACCCACAATAATAATTTTTCTCAAATATCTTTCATGTACAGGAAGCGATCAGTTACACTTTTATTATACATATGTATAGATTTAATGGGTATAAATAATAAAATCATTTGTACTTTACAGCCGCCCGAAATATACAGTGTCCTTTTATATTCTTTGAACACTACGGAGAAAGTCGAACTGTAGTGGATGCAGATGTGCTTGCATTTGTTTTATATGTTGACCCCTTTTTAATTATTACTTAGTAATTTTATATAGGAGTCTTTGACTGTGAAGTCTCGTGTATGAAGCTTTGTGCTGATTTAGGAATAAACAAAATTCTTATACGAGTATAAGATAAGATAATTCAGCCAATTTATACTATTTTTGTTTTTTTTTGGGGTTTCTTAGCTTAAAAGGATTTTTTTTGTGATTATTAACTTGTTTTAATATTTCATGCTACGGAACCAATAAATAAATGTTAGATAATGAATTCAATTATTTTACCATAACATCGTTTTTATTATTAAAAGACTTTGGCTAAAGAGGTTTCAGTTTTGTAGTGAAAAATAAAATTATTGTACATAGAAACTTATTATACGTGTTAATTTTGTCAGATCCAGAAGACGATCTAATCTTTAATTTTCTGCGTTCTTTAAATGATAATATACAAAAAAATATAACGTAGTCTACATAATATGTATGTATACACATGGCTGAATTATCATAGCATTTCTAAGTGATCTCTTTAGAATCTTAAATTTTCAAGTTTTCTTATATTTTCATGTTATAATTAATTAAGAGTTATAATCGATATTTAAATATTAAAGCCTGGCGGCGTGTGCTTCCTATCATCTCGTGCCTGAAGTATATGTTCTTCCCAAAAGTTACAAATACTTATATACGTTATAAGAGGGAAATTTTAAATGATATTACCATGTAAACAATTCCTTCTTCCATGAAGAAAGTAAAGGATATGTGTGACAAAATCAAAAAAAAACAGTGTAAACAGAAAATCACGCTACTATCTTTGACTTTGACTCATTTTTGGCGGGCTCCGTCTATATAACTCTGTAGTTTGAGATTCTATATTGATAATTCAATTTAAATTGAATTGGATTTGCTGTTGAGACTGCTAACTATATTGTACTTTCTATATTCCTCCTACAATAAATAACGTGCGTACTTGCATCAGATATATTTGTGATTTGTTAGTCTAATAAGTAATTTTAGCTGTGTTATTATTATTATAAGTAATTTTACGTGTATGTACATATATGTCGTAGGGAAATTGTAAGAATTGTATAATTTAACGGATCTTACAATTTCTCTGCGACATATACTCATATAATATTGTGTCGATGCGTAAGTGTGACTGATATTGGGAGTGCTATTCTGTAAGAAGTTTATGTAAGACGATAACTGAATCCGCGATTATAATTCATATTGAAATTTGTTCACGGATTCAGCTTAGTTACATAAAAGGAATAGCAGTAAGTATAGGACCAAATCACGATGGATCGCTGTTATCATTTCTTTATATTTTCAGTCTATGACAAGAGACGATTTGATTATTATTTTTTTGGCACTTTTATTTTTAGTTTTAGTTTTTTTTTAGTCGTTTGGTAATTATTTTAATATACATAGGTACAAATATGTTATGTTAAGTTTATAAATGGATTGTACAATTTAAAACGTATGTTTTTAAGTCAAATTATCAATCCTGTATATTTTTATTGAAAAGAAGAAATGTTGATCTTCGTTAGTTTTAAATGAGACTATTTTTTACCCTTTTTATTCATTTTAAATATTCATTTTGTGCTTGTTATCCCAGAGAAATTGTGAAGTTTAAAGTAGTTATTCTTGAATTAAAACATCTTATATACCGTTCTATCTTTGTTTCTTATTTTTTCGTTTTTTTCGCTTTCGCTTGATTTTAATATTTAAATCCGTAGTCCTTACTTAAAGTGGTATTTAAAGTGCAAAAAAAGTGTTCGTGTTGAAACTCGGGGGAAAAAATCTCTATTGTTTTAAGAAAATGCTCTAATACTTCAAGAAAATGTTATAGAATTCTTTCTCTTATGAGAAAACTAAATAAATTTATTATTTAATATTATATATATATATATATATATATATATATATATATATATAATCATTATGTCATAGGTAATGATTTCGCACCAAATAAGTATTTGAGTTAAGTAACGCAGTACATATAAAGATGTTTTTCTTAATAACTAATATGAAGCAACAACCTTCTCTATCTAATATTTCGGCACTATTTAAATTCGATCCACAATTTTAGGTGCAACAAGGTCGCAGTAAAAGTAATGTTTGTAATTCGTTTGTGAAGGGTTTGTTGGGAATTCGAGATAGTCTTGGTCGTATTTTCGCAAACACACCTGTATCCACTATAGTTTAATTATTCTACGTAATGTTCATATAATATAAACGGTTCGTGTATATTTGTAGCTCGTCAAGGAGTTATGCGAAATGATCAGAAATAGGTCCGGTGATAAGAAACAACTGATTAGAAGTAAATTGGAGAGGCTATTCGATATGCGACTGGGTAATGGAGACACGTGAGTATGGAGATTTTAATATAATCTAAATATATACATCAAATGCAGTTCCTTTTAGGAGCGTCAAATATTGATCTGTGTTATATTATGCTTTAAAGGCTAAAAGCTACCCTGCAGTGTAAAAAGATTTACATTTATAATTTTGTGTAAAGGGTTTGATTCAAACCAACTCTAAGAAACTATTTTTTATTTATTTATATGTACATTTTTTAGCGTTTTGTGCTTCATAAGGAAAAAACGAACCCTTAGGATCACTTCGTTGTCCATCTATCTGCTTGTCAAGACCCTTTTTCTCAGGAATGCGTTGGCGTTGAAATTAATATCAAATACTAAGTCTGCAATCCCTAGAAGCTGTAGAAATATCAAACTTCTAAGTTAACCCATTAAAAAGATACGGCCTTTTATGCCGCATATTTTAACATTCGCAAGGGAATGTCTAATAGAAAACCTATAGGGTACTTCCTGTTGAACGAGAATCATGTTTGGCCACACGCAATGTCTTATGGCACAAGTAAAGGAAAAAATCCGAAAACCCTAAATTTGTAGTTACATGACAATTTTTAAGTGAAAGTTCTTTACAATCGTTGTTATTTGAAACTCGATCAAACGTAAGTGCGACACTAGACAAACTAAAGATACACACATAAATATATAGAACGAATGAGATAGAATATATTGCCATGTTGCCATGGTAACCGTTGTTATTGTCTAACAAATATATTATATCTTTTCGGTATTATGATATTCTATAATTATATGATTGTAATATGCCTTAATTAATTATTTGATATAGAATACATTACAAAGAAGAAGAAGTGAAAAATAATAAAATTAATATTAATAACTAAATAATATGTAATGTATATGTCAAATAAAATGTAAAATAACTTTTAAACTTGATAAAAAATATTATAAAAAAAATATCTTATAATTATCCTACTCCTGATACAGTATATTCATCTCATTCTCTCGTAGGGTACTTTTCTGAAGTTTCACTTCTATCATGTGTGAATGTGCACACATACGCACTTTTTTTTGCGATTATAATAAAAATTTTCATGCTACGGAACCCTCGGTATGCGTCAGACTCGCCCTTGTTTAAAGTATTGGATGACCGCATAGTGTTATTATTAGGACTTTAGAAACTTTTTGAAATTATACCACATATTTAATTAGCAAAACGTATGCTATATATATATATATATATATATATATATATATATATATATATATATATATATATATATATATATATATATACATTTAAATGTTATCTTACCTTTCTGTGATATTTTACAGATTTTTGCACATGACTTTGGCCAGCAACCAACCCAGTCTAGAGTATATAGTGAAACTAATACACAACATGAAAATGATAAAACTTTTGAACTTGAAAAATTATCAGATGCAAACTATTCTCCACTTGGCTATTGTCAACGATTTACCAAAACTTGTGTCTTTCCTGGTGTCGAAAGGTAATTTCTAAATTTCTTATTAATAACAAATTCTCGCCTGCGATTCCGCTTGCGTGGTAGTTACATAGATAATAAGTAGCCTATGTGTTAATCTATTATATAGGTTATATTCAGTGGAAACACTTAAGTCGGTTGAGCAATTTCAGTGTTAAAAATTAAAATATAACAAAAAAACTCACATTCAAACATTTACATTTACTTAGTGTAGTCATGACAATTGACATATTTCTTTTATAAAGAATTGGAAAAGCTGTCCAGATAATTAAAGAAACTTAAATGTTTTTTTGTACAACTATTTATATGAGCCTTAAGGCTCTAAATTTCTATACAGATAAATAAAATTGAAGTGTCTGTTTGTAATGTCAAAATAACAGCTTTTTACTAAATGCATATGAAATTATATACGGTACACTCATAAGAAAAATACAATTTTTAATTTTTTGTCTGTCTGTTTGTTCAGATGCAGATGTTATAAGGAGTAACTTTGGCTACTTTTATTTTAGAAAAAGAACTAGGGTTCCGCTCAAAAAAATTAAACGTATTACGTTATTATTTGTATGCAAATATTTTTTTCTTAATATTTAAGGTTGTAACCCAATGGAAGAAGACATTGAAGGCAACAACGCGGTTCATTACGCTGTCATTTACCAATCGTGTCTGGAGCCGCTGCTATCGGCCATAGAGAACTACGCGGTCTCTTGTGATATCAACGCATATAATAATGGTATTGTCCCTGTTTTATATTTTATGTATTTCTTTGAATTTTTCAAATTATAATACATGAGTATTGTTTTTAATCTAATTTTTATCAAGTTTTTATATCACACTAGCGCTTACTCTCGCTACGTTTTAACGGTTAGTATGGAATAGATAGTCGATACCTTGCTCTGTGAAAAACAAAAACAAATCTATCCCACGGGAACCGTACGTTTTTTCATCTAGATCAGTACAGCCGTTCTGGCATGATTGAGTAACAAACCATCCATCCAAACTTTCGCATTTACAATATTAATTAATCGGAGGTACTATATACTCGTACCAGCCTCATCATTACATACATACAACAGTCCACCTACAAACAGAAAAAGAAAACAAAACTAATACTTTCTTAGATTTACGCGAATATTTAACATTTTAAATAAAACTATCTTTTCAGATTTTTTCGCTGATATATTTTGTTTTTTGGTTCAACCAAACTGGTTGTAGAGCCTCAAGGCTCATATAAATAGTTCTATAGAAAAAATATATATGTGTAGTGTATCAACTATCCGGTATCCATAAAGCAGGCCTCGTAGCTTACCATGGAACTAGACGGTGCCATGTGTTAATGTCCCAACATATTTATTTATTTATTACAGAAAAACAAACAGCGCTTCACCTCAGCGCCGTGTACGGCAGCGCGGAGAGCGCGGCGTGCCTGCTGCGGCACGGCGCGCGGCGCGGCGCGCGCGACGCGGCGGCGCGCACGCCCGCGCACCTCGCCGTGTACGACGACTGCAGCGCGGTGCTGCGCGTTCTGCTGCAAAACGCGTCGCCGGTAACCATACTCTGCTTTATAAGTTACTAGCGACTCGCTCGGGTTCGTCCCTAGCTTGCTTCCCGATACAAACTTTCATCCCCATTTTCACCCCCTTAAGGGATGATTTCCGAGATAAAAAGTATCCTTTGTCCTTCCCGGAGTATCGATCTATCTTCTTGCCAAATTTCATCTAAATCGGTTCTGTAGATCCAGAAACCCCCTACAACGTCACAAACTTACAATCTCACAAACTCACAAACTTTACCTCTTTATAATATTAGTATAGTTAACGTTCACTAAGCTCATCGCCTCTCTCTAGTGTGAAAAGGTTTGTTTTTTAATATTACAAACGTTTTTTACGGCTTCCCCACACATAGTACATTAATCACAAATATTATATAATAATAGTCTATGTGTTACTCTGAGTTATAAGTTACGTAACTATGAAATTTGATTAAAATCCGCTACGAAAATTTTGCGTGAAAGAATAAGAAACATCCATATATATCAAAAAAAAAATATCTGTATAACTAAACAAAGTGTTTTAATTATCATAATATATTAGTATAAGAAATGCTACAATATTGTTTATTTTTCTTTAGGATGAAATCGATGCAGTGGATGGGAAAGGCTACACGGCCCTGCAAATAGCCTGCGCTTCCGAACTACGAAAGAATACACTGGAAATTGTTCAACTACTTCTAGAACATAATGTAATTATAAACATAATATTATTTGCCTTATTTAATTTAATAATGCAGTTATTAGTGTTTTTTTTCCTAAAAGAAAAGAGATATTTGTATATAAATAATTATATGTTTATTATAACATTACTATCTCGATAGTGTAGTGGCTAGCACGTATGGCTGCACATTACGAGGTCCTTGGTTCGAGTCCGTGGTCGAGTCAAGTTAAGTTTTAAGTCTTTCTGTCAAGAAAGTCTCAGTAACAGCCAGGAGTTGTAAAATAGGCGGTGTAGAACTCCATACTTCGAAAAGTACATGTCGCGTCTGTTCTGCGCCTGATCTCTCGTCGGTCGTGACGAATTCATCGAATTTGGAAGTGAAAGGAATAAAGAGTGCACACTGTACTGTAATGTCTCCTGTGCCTTAATATAATTGTATGGCTTTTTATGGCCCTGTATAGACCATTTATATACATCTTAGAAGTGCGTGTACACATGATATGACAACTGTTGGGTATAACTATTAGGATGGGAAATGAATTTACATAGCAGGCATAACCCTGTATAAATGCAATTGTTATATAAAGACTCACCCGCTATAAAAAGCCAGTACTATCCATTAAAACTCTATGGAAACCCTTCCCGTCTCTATGAGGCGTCGCAGGATAAATAATGCTCGTCGGCTCGTCGGACCGTGGGATTATAAGTGATTTTTTCCTACAAATCACTGATCAAAATAGTACTAGATACGCAATCCCATGAAAAAGTTCTCTTAAAACTGTCACCAATTGTGTTTAGGTAATTATTCTAGTTGAAATAAATATACAACAATGTAAATTGAACCTTTAATGCAATGCTTAAAATTGTTTTTACAAAAAAAATTAAAAGCGCGCTCAAATATTCAAATGAGCGCTCATTCCGTGAGGACATTTTTTGTCGCTGATTGTGTATCTAGTACTTTTTTAGTCGATGCTACGAGTACTTGCTATGATTTAAACGTAAACCAACCAAAATCAACGTAAACCAATATTCATGATTCTTACTTTAATTAATACATAGTTTTATTTCGAGATTTTTCATATTTTTAAGAAAATATTTAGGTATAGTTTACTAAGGGTAGGGTATTAGTAAGTATTATTTGTGTATTTGAAAAAATATATTGATTAAAATTTTTATCAATTTTGAAGCTTTTTTTAATTAAAAAAGTATAGTAGTCTGTATAGAAATAAAACAATCCGAAGTTATTTACCTCTCGGTCCACGGCAGCTAAGGGGTTGCTCCCACGGTCCACTCTACTGTGAGAGAAGTACCAGGAGCAACGCGTGGTACACTTCTCACCTAACGATGATGACCGCCACCCAAATTTGTCTAGTATTAGCGGCTCACGCTCGGTATGGTCCCTTGGTATTTTAAAATAGTTATCATCATCATATCATAGCATTAACCTGTTTAATTTTTAATAATTATTCTTTTATTCGAGGCAAAGACAAATCTAACAAATCAAAGATCACCAAAATCGGACCAGCCGTTCTCGAGTTATAAGTGTTTTAACAAACCCGATTTTGTTATATATATACATATATATATATATATATATATATATATATATATATTTAAAACAAAATCAGGTATATATTTATATACATTAATCTTCAATCAATATTCGAATCCAGGACCTCATAATCTGGATACGTATTTGTTTAATATTTTAACAGAATGAATCATAATATCCTTCATTGCAGGCGGATCCAAAGAAACATGATGAGAACAATAAACCGGCTTGGAAATTAGCTCAGCAATCACCCAAAGTATTGCAGTTGCTACAACCATATATAGACTCTCAGCTCATCTCCGAAGACGATATTAAATCCGAACCGGAAGATGAATATGAATCCGCCGAAGATGATGTAAGTTTTGAGCTAATTTTACTACCTTCCTTATATACTAAGTACTGGGTGTTTGCCCGTGATTTTTTTTGCCCTAAAACTCATAACGTGATTATGGATAGCCAAAAGCTTCCTCAAAGAATAATCCAGAAAGTTTTAGATCTTGTTAAATTAGTTTATGCAAAAAAAATAAAAAAGCATTTCCAGGTTTATATATTAGTATTAAAGTTCCAACCTCTTATTATAATCTTTTCTTAGCGGTTACCTACTTCTTACGAGTGAGTTGTATTTCGCGTTTTGCCAAAAATTGAAATAATTTAATGCTAATATTTTGAATTTCAATATATTATATATTTATTTGTAGATTAATAAAATACCTTACCTTAAGATTGTTGTTGTGCATTACAGGTCTGATGAAATAAGTATGAATAAAATAAAGAATCTGTCTTGAAATAAATGATTTGTTCGAAGATAAATACGTATTGCGAATGGTGTGATCCTTTTGTAGCTATTTCAATGTTAGATAAAAGTTTTGTATTATATTTTAAACTGTTTCTTTCTCTAGTTCATCTTATTATTAAGGCAATTTGTTCCAATCGTGAATCATTAATGACTATTTAGTAACGTAATTATGTAATTATATGTATGCTTGTTTTTGAAATTATACTTCTTTTGGCACGTTTGGAAAAAAATATGAGAGTAACATTTTTACGATGCGCGCGCACACCGACAGCTAAAAAGCGACATGATGAAGTTAGCTGCATTCCTTTTACAAACAGAGAGTTGTGACATACGGGATGAAATCCTTAGCTATTTTTGTTCTGTTACGCTAAAGATGTATAACTTCTTACATGCGTACATAAGTACACACACAAGTTTTTTTAATTAATGTTTCAGTATTAAGGAGTATCTTCATATTGAAGCGCTTAGACGTATTTAGGTAAAATTTAGTACACAGATATGGAATAAATCTGTTAGGCACGTGGGGACGCTCCCGAGCAAAGGAAAAATCGCTAGTTTAAAACAGTAGCCCGTGATCACCAGTAAATGCCATTAATCCCATTAATATTATATGTTGGTGTTTTTTTACTCAATCACGTCAGAACAGCTGAACGGATCTGGATGTTTGGCACAGAGATAGATAGACTCGTTTGGCTCAATTTGTAGTGACCCTACTTGCTGTGCCAGCGGTCGCGGGTTCGAATCCCGCTGGTGGCATTGATTTGTGTGACGAGTACGAATGTTTGTACTCCAGTCATGAGTGTCTATATTTATAATATTTATGTATTTAAAATTTATATATGTGTAGTGTATCAACTATCTGGTATCCATAACACAAGACTCGTAGCTCACCATGGAACCAGATGGTGCTGTGTGTTAATATGTCCCGAAATATTTATTATTTATTTGATTTGATTTGATTTGCAGGATGAGCCACCGTGTCAGTCGGGGTTAGCAGAGCTGCCCCTGTACATAGACGAGGTGTCGGCCGCGCTGGAGCGCTCGGGCGCGTGGCGCGAGCTGGCGCGCCGCCTGCGCCGCGACACGCTGCTGTCCTGGTTCTCGGCCTCGGACCGCCCCGCGCGCAAGCTGCTCAATCATATTAAGGTGATGCTCTAGAATGTTCTCGGTTCTAGGGATAGGGGTGATGAAATATTCTGGAACGTTCTGGAATTTATTCAAGTAAAACTTCTTTACGCACGCTTGACTTGCATAAGCTGGTGAATGCGTTACGAAAAGTGTAAATCGGGCGAGGCGAACGTTTGTTGCCATGGAAACGGTTATTATTGTATGAAAAATGATATATAATATTATAGTCTTTCCTTGAACGATATTCTATCAATATGTATATGATTTTAATATGCCTAAAATGCGTTATTTTTAATATCTCACCTATTCTAATATTTAAAACATCAATTGAATCTCATAAAGAGTACCGATAACCTATAAAAGTTTTACTTCTTGCGCGTGTACACATTCATACATGCACTCTTTATTTTTTTATTTAATATTTATTTATTTAATTATGTATTTACGTACTTATTTTTTACTTATTTATTTTATTGGTTTAATTTCAAATTAGGTTAAATTACGATCACTTTACTTAGAATACGTAGAACTATTAACACACGCACATGTGTACGCGCTCACCCACACACAGATATAGAGGGAAAGTTAGGGATAGAGAGAGAAAGACAGAGAGAGAGAGAGAGAGAGAGACGACTTGGATAGTAGTCACTATAATAGTAGTCCGATTACAAAAAGATTTTTTACTCATGTTACAGGATTGTGACGAAATTACATCAAAATCATTGGAATTGTTATTGAAATCAATGGGCGAGACAGAGGCTGCAACGGCGATAAGAAAGTACATTTGTGAATAACACAAGGTCTACGCAAATCACTTATTCTTTTGCCATACATATTTTATTTTTTAAGCATTTTTAATATGAATTCAATTTATGACATAAAATGTAATGTACTCAGTATTTTACAGAAATATTTTTTTGTATCTATGGTGTTTTTTTTCTCCATATAAATTGTGCGCAAAATTTTATATTGTCTGACAAGCTTATTAGGATAATGTAAAAATGTTGTAAAATTAATGAACATTAAAAAGTATCATATGTCCTGGTTTTGATACTTTAGATATTTATAGTTATTTAAATTATGATTTTCAGTGTTGACATCAATTGATATCAAAATGTGTGACATTTTATAAATTCTTATCATGCATTTTAATTTTATTTACAAATGAGACTCATTTGAGCAATTTAACTGTAATTTTACCATTAGTGTCTTATTAGCGACTATCGTTTTAGGCCATGTGCCTAACTAGTGCTAGTTTCTACAATATAAATTGCAGATGCGAACTCTGCAGTGGTGTTTTTTTTTTTTACTAAATATACAGAGAATGTGTTCTTGTACCCCAAAGGAAAGTACATCTAAAATTACGATTTTACATTTAAAATGTAATATATTTGACATCTAATATTTTTAATAAATTAATGATGTTTCTATTATTATTTTGTATTATTTCATAACCCTATTATATATATATATATATATATATATATATATATATATATATATATATATATATATATATATATATATATATAACTGCCTCGGTGGTGTAGTGGCTAGCATGTACGGCTGCACACCCGGAGGTCCTGGGTTCGAGTCCCGGGTCGGGCCAAGTTTAGTTATTGAGTCTTTCTGTCTAATAAGTCTCAGTAACAGCCCGGAGTTGGGAAGTTGGCGGTGTTTCACCCCCGTGCCTCGGAGAGCACGTAAAGCCGTCGGTCCTGCGCCTTAACTCTCACCGGTCGTGTCGAGTGGTCGTCCCACCGGAGTATGAGAGTGATAGGAATAGAGAGTGCACTTGTGTCTGCGCGTACACTTGTGCACTATAATATCTCCTGCGCAGTTGGCTAATCTCAATGAGATTGGCCGCCGTAGCCGGAATCGGCTAGGAGAACATCATCATATATATATATATATATATATATATATATATATATATATATATATATATATATATTTATTTCTCTATTTACTTTATCAACCCAAATTACGCCCAGGAATATTCCCTCCGCTGCAGATTTCGTAGCATCCAGCGTGTTACCAAAGCGAGACAAAAATACCAAATCATCAAGTATTCCAAAAGGATAATTAATAAAACTTGTTTCAATAGTAATAAAACTTATTCGCGCGCAGTTCTTTTCCAAACCACTTTTTAAATCTATTAGGTTTGACAGTGTTATGTTCTCTGCTTTAACTGATCGAAGAATTACTAATAAAAAACAATATTAAGACCAGGTCTGGCGTGAGCACTACAGAAGGGTTTCAACCTTTCTATTAAGCCAAACAACAGTCAGGCAGCAAAAAGGTTCTTATTCTTGCAATGTTAATGTTAACAAAAGAAGGAAAGAATACTAACACTACCATATAGCTTAGCAGTCTCGTAAAAGATGATTCTCTCATTGAGCAAAACGAGAAAAGGCAAATTCACACATTATAGCACTTAAACTAAATTGGGGATTTCGCTGAAACTGGCCTATTGAAAATATTCTGCTTGATCCTTTTTTATAATTTTAGGCACTCTTTATACGTATGTATATATTTGAACGTGAAATATTTTTAAAACAATGATTGTTACGTGTTGTGTACGGAATATAGACCAAAAAAAAATGGGTGTTGAAATTTTTAACTGTATATCTATTTGTCTGTATATCTGTTGTCATTTCACGCAAAAAGTATTGAACGGATTGTAACAAAATTTTGTGTAGTGAAAACTTATCAGGTACTGGGGTCAATATTTAGAATACCTTTTACAACAGAAAACCCCCTATTCCCACGGGAAAAGTTCGTCCGAGTTATCCTTCATACAAAAATTTCAATGATTTATTTACACAAAAACGACCGTGCTTTGTCAAAAAAACTGTTTTCATACGCCTGTATAGTTAAAGCTGCTAAATATTACGATATACATTAAAACAATGAACTAGAAAATTGTTGGTTTTTAAAATACCTGAAGAAAATTCCATAACAGCATGTAAATCTAAGTACACTCACAATAACGTTTTTCATCTATTTGAAACGTACGTAGAAGATGCACCTACACCTACGCAATCGATCTAAGTGAGGGTAAATCGCCAGTCAGAAATAAAATCTTAAAAAAAATCGATTATTAAAACAAAAACAAAGGTTATTTATGTTTGGCTTATTTTATATTCAGAAAGCCATCGTATTTTAAATTGTCTCTTCACTTCCATATTAATTTTCCATAATTCATAATGCCATGATATTGACACACATCCGATCGGTTTTTAAAAGCGACATCGACACCATTGTTTGCAAAGCGTCTGGATCATTAACAACATATTTACATGCATAAATACTTATTTCATTTTCCTTAGTTCAACCTTTTTAATTGTATCTTAATTCTTACGTATAATTAATAAAACTCATTTTAATTTAGAGCCAGCTCATTTTAATTTGCCAACCGATGCAGAGCAAGTCTAATATATTTCGACACGTAAAATACATCACAAATTGATGTATAATATTTTAACTCTATCTAGGGTTCATACCTAACCATATTTACCTATTAGATATTCATATCGTAAAGTATTGTCGGCTGGCACCGACTTCGAAAATATCTGATTAGATATCTATTCTAAATGAAAACCCCCTCTTAGTTATTTTTTACATTTTAGGGCCTAGAAGTCGGTTTTTTTTTTTCAAGTTAATTTTTTCCATTTTTAGTGTAGTCGTAATAAACAGGTAATTTGTAAGAAGAAATTTTTTTAACAACTTATTCGATTAAATAAATTTATTTATAAAAATAATTTATTGTTGATTTTTTAAAAACCGCTCGACTGATAAAATTTAACTTGATCTGAATAATAAATCAGATTAGAAGAGTCCATTTAGGATAAGTATTTCATACTTCAAATTCGTATTCTTTCAAGTTATTAGATTTCAAGCCGAAGGGTTAGTTTTTATTCCATCTCTTTATTATGTATACATTATCATTGCTAAGAACTACGAGTACATGTACTGTGCATTAAAATTGAGATCAGTTTTACGTCACGTTGTCACGACATAAAAATAATCTACCGTTTGTTTATCACTGGTCATTATGAACGCGTCATGAAATTGCGTTCCTAATAGCACCATTGATATTTGAGGAGATAATGAAAAGTTAAGTTTGATATTTGGTTTAATTTTTACTAAGCATTTTTCTTTAATTCATTCAGGACGAAGCTTAGGTATGATAGATATAAAAAATAACCCATTAAAGAATATGCTACACGGTATAGAAGCAATTAAACAGTTAAGATTTACATACTAACTACATAATATTATATGGCAATATAGCCGGGTATGATGCCATGAAACGCACTGGGAGGTGGATAACCTGGGTGGGAGATGTGCCATGCGAATTGCTCCTGGTACTTCTTTGATAGCCGAGTGGACTGTTGGAACGACCCTATGATTGTGGTGGTCTGCTTCGGCAGACCTGCCATCGGGCATCGGGGCATCATGGTTGAGTGCGTAAGGGATCCTGCGAAGTCCCATTAAGATGGTACTGGTAGCACTAGCTTTCCTTAAGCCGGTGAGTCTATTTATTATTAAATTAAGCATTTAAATAACATAAATTATTAAAGTAGTTTCAGTAAATCACAGTACTCGGTGCACGCCTGATGTCAATTTTCAGGACTTTCCTATATTTTATCGACTTTTTCTATATATTGCATCTAAATTTAATAATTAGCTAAATTTAACAAATCCATCATGCCTTACTTAGTTTATGATATAATCTAATGTATTCATGCTTATGTAGGACACAAGATAACTAAGATTAACCAAAAAAATAAATTTTGAACGCAAGTTTCTACAACACCGAACAAAGAACATAAGTTATTACGTAATTCCTGTTTATTATTTATTTTTAAATGATAGTTTCAAACACTATGAATTCATTAAAAAAAAATTAAAAGAACTATAATCTAGATTCTAGAGGTAGGAACCGACTAGTCGCCGGATAAGCCGTCCTTTTTCCTAGACGGCAAAAATAAAAGTCGGCCCATCTGTAATTTAGAACGATGTGAATTTAACAATATTTTTATATTTACACCAAAGTGCCCGCTTGGCTTAAGATTTCATTCTATAATCATTGAAAAATAATGAAAAATTAATATGAAAAGGCGGTTAAATTTCTATTCTTCAATGACTGTGAAACGAGATATTAGAAAATTATGAAAGAAAAACGCAAGGTACCTACATACATATATATTTGAATTTTGTACAATTTAATATAAAAAGTTTCTTTTGTCGCAAAACATCTATTCTATAGAGATTCTAAGAGAGTCAAAATGGTATATTGAATATTTTCTGAAAATCTATTTGTTTACGAAATGTTCGTATTTAAAAAAATCAATTAACATAAAATTTTTAGGTCTTTGTCTGTGTGTTTGAGTATGTTTAGTGCGGCACTTAAAAGCGAGTGGGTATGAAATCTGGTATTATTACAGTCTTAGGACGAATAATATTTTGTTTTACTGGCGACTGGTTGATTAAAAATGTTAGTGTTATTATTATTCATCCCACGACGTACTTCTAATCGGATTAATTATTTATACATTATTCATATCTCTTGAAACCTACTCTTCTATACATATAATAAAATTGTAACTAAGCTGAATCTGTACATTAAATATTTTTTGGAAAATCTTATTGAAATTGACTTTATTATCGATACAGAGGCCGAATCTATAGTTTTTAGAATTTCTGTCTGTCTGTTATCGCATCACAGAAAAACCACTGGAGGGATTTTGATGAAATTTGGTATGGTGATATCTGATTATCCGGG